TCTATTTGCATCTCTCAGCGGTTTACACAGATATGGCTGAAAAATTGGAAATTCTCATAGTTTTGCGAGCATCTAGGAGCTAGAAGCTTTCAATCGACCCAAAAATCGTAAAAATCACCCCGGTAGATCTCTCAAAATAGGCGTTACAACAGGAATATAACCAATTCCCGGGAACTTAAGGCCGGAGGGGGGTGGATTTGGCTTTAAGAGCGTCTCAGGAAGAAGAGTCTGAAAAATTTGGAAGTCTGACAATTTTGCGAGCATCTAGAAGCTAGGAGCTTGCGGTCGACCCAAAAATCGTAAAAATCGCCCCGGTAGATCTCTCAAATTAGGCGTTACAACGGAAACATACCGCAACTCTCGGAAACTTACGGTCGGAGGGGGGTGGATTTGGCTTTAAAAGCGTCTCAAGCGAAAGAGGCTGAAAAATTTGGAAGTCTGAAAATTTTGTGGACATTGGGACGTCAAGGGCTTTAACCAGAGTCAAGCATCGTCGAAATCGGTCCGGTAGAACTCCAGAAATAAGCGTTACAGTGAAACCCCCAACGATTTTATTTATATAGATATGACAATTTAAGCGTCTTGTTCCAATGGCTGTGGTAAACCAAAGTCGGGGGTTTCGATTTCCATCCGTTTCGGGCTACCACCCCAAACATGGGGTGGGTTTCGGCCAGATGGTCATCTAGGCGGTTAAACTATCATATGTTGGTTTGGGCTCTAATTTTGAAAAAAGCTTTAATCAGAAGCTGGCTAGGGAGATCGGGGACCGAAGTCGAGCCGACCAACTAAACCAAACTCACGGCTGCATATCTGCCCGGATGACACCGGAATCATCCCTATTGAGGGATATCTCTCCGGCTGCGACACTGTTAGATGTTGAGGAGTTGGAACTGCACTTCATTTTTAACCTGAGAGTGACACGCCCTTTGACATTCCGAAATATAAACCGCGCCCTATTCAGTCAAGTAAATTTTCGAAAATTATCAATTTATTATTATTATCTATTATTAATGAAAATTATTATTTTTTGACAGCGCATACATAACGTGTTATAAAATCGTGGCTCCCCCGTATGGTAATCATTTTCACCGTCTCACCGTTGAGATGGTGCGCAAGTGGAACAATGTTAGCGCCATTGATGGGATGACACCAAAAAACTCTCGCTCTTAGCTAAGTTTTTCAATATGACGAGGCAAGTTCTTAAGGGAAAATGATCTAGGCAAGGATCGAACATATAAAATTTTAAGACAGTTTTAAAATGCATTTTTCAATGACATTGTGGTAATTAATACAAAAATAAAACTAAAACTAAAATACATATATTAAAATAAGTTCAAATAAAATAACCAAGAAACCAATAATAAAAAAAACTACAAAATTATTACCACCACCAAAAATAAAATATTTATGAAACATAGAGTATGAATAAGGAAAGAAAAAACTAAAATAAAGTGCATGTATCATAAAGAGGCTGCGAATACTGTTTAAGCAAGTTAGTAAGGTCACATACTTTCTAAGAAAGCAAAGGATCTGATAATTAAGCCTACTTCACTAGAGGAGTAAAAATATTCTAAAAGGGTAAAAATTGAATCCATTTCATAAAATGAAAATTCCTAAAGATATGCCCCGATTACAAAAAACTCTTTTGAGAGCAAGTGGAACATTACTCATTTGGTTAAAGAGTAGGTAAAAGGGAATTTCATGAACTACTGGGCGTAACAACTAAAATTAAAGGAATATAATATCCATTGGTTTGGCTTTCTGCCTTCGCTGCCTGGCTAATCTGTCGGTCGACCCCACAATTCAAAGCTCGCACTACCTGAATAGAAAATCTCATTGTTTGCATTGATTGCAGTGGACCTTGCTGGCAAAGGTTGGCACCACAAATGAAGGAAGTCCTCACTCGAACTTTTAGGTCTATTTTTCTTTCGGGAAGATGAAGGCTCAAGCTCCATTGATCGTCCACGGCCGCTGCGGCCGCTCACGAAAGATTGGTCCCGGATGATAGAAGGTTTTCCTCTTGGAACCTCCGTCAAACCATATGACGCACCGTATTCTTGCTGCGTCTTCGCGTACCACTCAGCATCTTTTTCCACGCATAAAAGCAGCTTCTTGTGAGAACCGATATTGCTTAAAGGCCACATACCTGTTGTTTTGAATTGTACCGTGCATCTGTGTGTCTCATACGCCTCGGCGTCATCTCTCTCACAACCGAAAAATTCAGCATCCTTACAGCTGGACCAATCTCTTTTGTACATAGGAGATGCCAAGTACGTCTCGACAAGCTTCTTGCACAAATTATTTGCTTGTTGGTCTCTGGCACTGCCCTCTTTAGTCTGTAGACAAGGGTCATTGTGTTGCAAATGATAAAGATCTTCCACTTCCACCATACTTGTGCGTGTTATCTGGAAAAAAAAAAAAAAAATATATTAAAAGTTATGCCGTGGTATTTTTCAAGAAGGAGCAGTTGATGTGAAAACTTTTTTCCGGGGGGCAGGGGGGACAAGGGACAGGGGGAAGGGGGAGCGTTCGCTTGATACTCACTCCTGATGGGGTTTAGGGTCTTTACGGTATACAAATGATGCATGAAGGGGAATCCCTATCCGGAAATTTTTCGGAACATGAGCTCCTTTGGGGTTCAGTTCGAGGCGACTGAAAAGGCTGAACGAAAGCATAAAGCATAGCTGGACTCAATCAAGGATTCTCCAAAAATATCCACTGCGTTTTTCCTTCCGTCATTTTATTATGGACTAAGGTGAGATAATGAATTTATCTTCAAGAATGTTGAGAATTTGCAGATTCTGTATACCCTGCAGACGATGAAGGTTTGCATGGGGAAGTGTTTACCTTGATCCTTTACAAGCAGATGCGTGACTTTAGCCGTTTAGATGAATTTCATTTTTCCTTGGAAGGAGGGGGGGGGTATTTATAGGGACTCTTTTGAAGTGGATATGAAGCTCGACAAGTGTCAGAAGGTACATCGCGGCGATTTGGATCCCAAGACGACGGAAAAATTGGGCTACATCTTTCAGTGAGGAACTATGCAATTTCAGGCCCATGTATAAAAATAACTATCTACACAGAGAAATTAAAGGCACATACTATATTTGTAAAATGAGTCAGAAATTGTACATTCGCAAAATGTGGTCCATTTATCGAGTGGTTTAATTTAAAATAAAATAACTTATCTACGTTTTTGAAACCAGAGAAAATGTTGATAAGGATGAACACTTGAAGATCAGCGTCATGACTTTCTCAAACGTCTTGATCCGGACTTCTTCGCCAGTGGCATCAAAAAGCTCATTTTTCGCTGTGAAAAATGCGTCCTTCTAGATGAAAATCACATCAAAAGAACTTAGGAAAGAGACGCTGTCAAAAAGAGGTATCATGTTGTTCTTTGGATCGTTATACCTTCGTTTCCTGAACCTCTTTTCCAGGAGTTGGCGGAAAATGTCCGGGAAGGCTCTCACAAAAATTAAGTTTTCTCGGCGACTATTGGCGCAAATTTTAAAACTTTTACACAGTTGGAAAGCTAAAAGTATGGCCTTATCAACGGTATATTGAGATTTTTCCGATAACGTTAAGAGTCCGATAAAAAAATAGGTAAACTTACTTTTCGTAAGACCATTGTAAGTTTGGTTGGCATATAACCAAAAAAAACTTTTATCGAATTGTACACACTCGAGACTAAAAGCGTACTTACTTTTTTTCGACCACAACGTGAACCTGAACATATAGAGTAACTTCCGGACCTAGGTGCGCAATAAGAAAAGTTAGATAGAACTAAGATCTGAATCGCGCACAACGAGAGTCTTTTAAGGATCATATCCTGGCCGCACTGAGTACGTGTTGTCGAATACTGCGATGCCTAAAAGAATGTAAGAGTTTGAAATACCTCTCACGAACTCTCAGATCCGAATAAGAATAGTCACTGATGATCATACGCGTAAAAGCATACAGAGGAAAACTAGGTAACTACAGGTGAATGGGTACCTGGAGCATATCGACGGTGTAAGTCGGCAATCACATAACTCGGTTTGCGACGTCGCAGACTTCCTGTCATACTTTATTTTTTAAACGGAAAACTACTCAATAGCAATTCTTTAAAACTACCGTGGTTTTTCTTCTCTGTGCGAAAAAAAAAATCTGCACAAACTTCAAGGAATGATGCCCATTTTTTCTCATTTAAAAAAATAACATAGAGGCGGAAATGTTCAGACACCGCGAACGAGATATGTGATTGCGGACTTATGCACCGTCGACATACAGATAAGAGCGTGACGCCATAAAAAAGATGCTGAAACGAATTTCGTTTCAACATCTTTTCCGCAAGACCATGATGCGATCTGTTCCCATCCCTCAAAATTCTTTTTTTTCTAAATGGCACTCAAAATCACTCAAAATAACAGTTTCCATTTCAATGGGCGCAAAAGAGAGTATTCCTCTAACTGCCGGCACGTTAAAAAAATGAGGCCCGTACTCGAATACTGCGACTCTTAAAAAGAATGTACGAGTTGAATGTACTGCACAAAGACTCGCAGATCAGAAAAAAAAGCCGATGACAATCCTATACGTAAAAGCATAGAGATAGACAGGAATCCATCGGTAAATAATATACAGGGTGTCCGAATGTTAACATACTTAACTTTCAAGATCGATTTTTTGACTCAAATTACTGTGTTTTCCAATACACATATGCCCAAAAACGTTTCATAAGTGAGCCAAGCGCTTTCTTTGCTATGCGCAATGATTCCTTACAGCCCTTGGAGTGAGAACTGCCTACCCAGCAAGGAGCTTCGAAAATGTGAAACTTTTTCAAAGCTCTGTTGCGTTGAGATGACGGGTTTTTGCAGGAGACTTTTGTGCCCTTTCCGCTGGATTTTTTGCGCTTTTCTCCGAGCTACAATGCATTTCCCCAAATATCATCTACCAAAAAAGTTGTAGCAATTTTACAATTCGAGGACGCTCGTAACATCATTTTTAAAGACGTGCGTCCTTTAAAACACAAAATTTGAACAACACGCTGAAAAATACCCCCTACACAACGTTTCAGCTAAATACGACAAAATAACGAGGAGGAACATCAATTTGAAAGAGAAAAAATGACAACTTTGGAAGCGCATAGCTCACTTATGTAGCATTTTCGGGCTTATTTGTATAGGAGAAAAGTCATATTTTGAGCCGAAAAATCGATCCTGAAAGTTAAAAACGTTTTATTTCGGATACCCTGTATATATGAAGCCTATAGATAAGAGCGTAACGCGTTAAAAAAAAAGAGAAAAAAAACCTCACTTGGACGCATTTTATCTTGGGGAAGCTTTTTTCGATTTACCTTCATCCTTCAAAAAAAATTGTTTTTTTTTCTAACACTTAAGCTGACATTGCATGTTCACCGTTCATTTTAGTGCGCAAAAGAGAGCTCAGCCCCTCTAACCGGCAGCACGTCACAGAAAAGAAAAAGAAGGGGAAAAAATCCGAGGTTGCCGCCAATATACGTAAATCACACTGAAAAAAACATCTCGGTGTATTTACCAAGAAAAGAGTAAAATTACCAAGAATTCAGGGTTCTATTTGATCCCAGTTTTTTCTTGGTAAAAGTACCATTTATGGAATTGGTAATTTTACCGAGAAATCTCGGTAAAATTGTTGAACTTTCTCGGTAATTTTACTGGACCTTGGGTAAAAATGCCAATATTTTTTATCGACTGTGGTAAAATTACCGGGATAAAATGGCAAAGTTACCGGGAATTGATTACCAATAAAAGCGGTGACCTTACCTGAAAAAACAGTAAAAATACCGGTTTTTAGGTAAGCTTACCAGTCTGTCTTGGTAAAACTACCAATAATTGGTAAAAAATTTGAGATGGTAAAGGTACCAACGGACCTTGGTAAAAACGCCGAGATTTTTTTTTCAGTGCATATTCTATGAAGTAATAGCCCACTGAAAGTATTCAGCTTCGGTTTAGCTTTGACCGTAAGCTTTTTGAAAACTTTCCAGAGGAAGGTTTTAGGACCTTAGCGATTGCCTCCTACAAAACAAATATGTAGAGCATTACAAAAAATCGTGAGGTTTCTCGGAAGATCAATGCTCATCGCTTTGGCACAAAATTAGACACACATTCTTCGATCGTCAATTTTACTTGAGTTTGCGAAATGAACCCAAAATTATCACAGATTCCAAGCATCACCTTGAGAGCATACAGCGAGATTTGAGAGGAATTTTCACAACTACGATGAAAACAACATCATTTTTCAATATCTAATGCATGCTTTTAGTGAAATGACGTCATATGCCGAGTCATTTATGGGGCGATATACGGTGATACCGGACTTGAAAACTTGGTGTTCATATAGATCTACTTTACTGATCTTCAATCTGAGATAGTAATACACGATTTTGTGACAAACGCAAGTGAATCATTGAAAATGAAAATTTTTGCCCAAAATGTGAGGCGCTTCTCGTGAAGATGCATATTTTGGCAATGCTTCTGTAGGACTGACACTTTGACATTCAAGGTGATCTTCGAAGCATATCGATGATGAATCTGCAGTGGTGCGTTCCTCGGCAAACACGATTTTTCAGAGTAGCAAATAAACTGTACATGTTCCTCATTATTCTCAGCGGAATAAGGGAAATCACTATTCCGAATTGCTGAGATATAATATGTTTTCTCAGGCTTCACTAGCGTTTAGAATTACTCTCCAAAATGTTAGGAAATATAGCAGAAATTCTGATATTCAAATTTTCGACAGTAAGAAGTAACGCTGCATCCTGAGTTACTTTAGATTTTAAGTGCAATTGATAGGTCGACAACAAACAGCTCTCGCTATATGCCAAGTTCTTCAATATGATCAGACGTGTTCTAATAAAAGCTTAAAAAGACACATAAAAAGTCGCAAGAAAGTTTTAATATGCAATACCAATGAAATTATAATTGACACATACGAGACAAAACTAAAAAATTAATAAAACTAAAGCTATTGCTTAACAAAAATATAATGCTTACGAAACACAAGAAATGAATACGGAAATTAGGCCAAAAACTAAAATACCGTAAAATGCAAACCAAAAATCTAAAATACCGTTTATCCTAGAGAGTCTGGGAATACTAAACGCATGAGTGAGGTCACACAATTTTTAGAACAACATTTTTTTGGCGGGCATTTCATCTGTGAATTGCATCTGTTCTACTAAAATGAGATTTCCAATAACTCCACTAAGCGAGTTATAAAATTACAAGAGAGATAAATTGAACCCATTTCGTGGGTGCTAATTTTATAAAATTAAAATTCCCCATGACTTTATATTATAAAAAATGAAATGACAAAACCGTCATTGCATGGTTCAAGGCCTGGAAAAGTGCTTGATTTTGAAGTAATTGGTTTTCAAGGCCTTGAAAGTGCTTGATTTTTGAGGAGGGCGCTTGGAAAGTGCTGGAAATTTACGCCTTCATAATTTCCAGTAGTAAATGTTCGTTGTTAAAAAATATCAAAGCATTTGAGGTCAAATAAATTGTTCATAAATTTGATAATGATAAAAAGGAAGCAGAAGTAAATAAAACAGACAGAATTATCCAAAATCACGATAGGGGGAGAAAACTTTGCGCTTGGGAAAAAATTATGAAAAAGTGCTTGATTGTTTTAATCTTGCAACTGCTCGAACCACGGCTTCGCACAATTGGACTGCATTTTGCAATTTGGAACTATAAATTCTGGCTCTTATGGAAAAACACTTATGTGCATAGGGAAACTAATGGCACATACGTTGTTTTTAAACCGGGCTAGAATTTATAGTTCAAAATTGCAAAATGTAGTCCAATTAGTGATTTGCTCTTGAACAGTAGCGTGGCGTGCTTTGCGATATCGATTGATCGGCCTTTCAAACCTATGTAAAAGGATCGATAAACAGGGTGTTCGCAGCGGACACCTTAATAATCGAGTCTTTACTATGGGTTTAAATGGTATAACAATCGATATATCGCAATTCACGCCACGTCTCTGCTCTTGAATACGTTCGACTCCTCTGTTCAACAATCGCACCATCTTACGAGAATGTCCCATAATTTCTTCCTGATAGCAAAGTTTGGCACCACGTAAGTCGATCTCTGGAATTAGGGCGTCGATCAGATTTACCAGTGTTCATGCGGCTGTAAGTTCGATCCATCGATCGTCCGCGGCCATTGCGGCCACTCGCGAGAGATTGATCCCGGATGATGGAAGGTTTTCCTCTTGGAACCTCCGTCAAACCATGTGACGCACCGTATTCTTGCTGCGTCTTCGCGTACCACTCTGCATCTTTTGCCACGCACAAAAGCAGCTTCTTGTGAGAACCGATACTGCTGAAAGGCCACATACCTGTTGTTTTGAATTGTACCGTGCATCTGTGTGTCTCATACGCCTCGGTGTCATCTCTCTCACAACCGAAAAATTCAGCATCTTTACAGCTGGACCTTTCCCTTTTGTACATACGAGATGTCAAGTACGTCTCGACAAGCTTCTTGCACAAATTATTCGCTCGCTTTTTTTCACCCTCGGTACTGTGCTCTTTAATAGGTAGACAAGGGTCATTGTGTTGCAAATGATAAAGATCATTGAATTCCACCATATTGGTGTGAGTGATCTGAAAAAAAAACAACATATTGAAGTTACGCCGATAAACTGGAGAGTTGGCTTCGAACAGTGACGAAAACGGACCATAGAGTACATAGAATCGTAATACAAATAGGAATTGAGGAGCTGGCGCCACTTTTAAGCATTTTCCAGTCACCGAATTCCACGACCCCTGAGCAGTATTGGGTCACCATGTCGATACATATTCGATTTTTTCTGATGCACGGGTGCCGGTACCCGGCCGGCGATAGAACATTCGATGTGAACAAAAAAGTTATGAATTATTACGTATTATACATCGCCATTTTAGATCGAAAACGTATCGGAAAGTTGACCGAATCTCGGCGCACACTGGGCTTGGAACTCTTCGACCAGAACATGACCCCAGCCTACGCCATTATATTATTAGGACTATGTACTATATGAAATGGACTCTTTGTAAGACCCTACAGATCTAGCAGCAAGTATTTCTATTAGATATTTTCAGGGAACATTCGAGAATTAGTGGGGTGTAGCCTCAGGACCTTAAAAAAAAACTTGATCTAATCATTCGTTTATACTGCCGAGCTAAGGAAAAACGCTATAAGAACATTCAAGAGATGCCAAATTTCCTTCGATAACTCATGTTTTTTTTTTGAGGAAAGTTATGTAAGTTTTTCCTTAAAATTTTCAGGAACTTTAGGTGAAATGGCAAACAAAATTATCTAAAAAATTGGAAGGAAAATATTCATAATTTTATCCGGAAAATTTGTGTTTCGTCAAAGAACATTTGGCAACGCCTGAAGGTTCATACGGCGTTTTTCCTTAGCACGGCGGTATAGTTCGCTCAATGGCGAACCTAACGGTTAGCCATTACGGCTACCCGATAATGACAGCAGGTGGACTTGCGAGCAAAGGGAGGACAGTAAAGGGTTATCACAGATGCCTAAAAATTGTCTCTAAATGAACTCGGGGAGATGAGACTTTAACATATAGCTAAAGAGGTGTTCTCTACTATACTGCCATGCTGAGTAAAAAAGCTGTATGAGCGTTTGGATGTTGGCAAATTTCATCTCGAAAAGCATTTATTTTTAAAGAAAGTTATGAATATTTTTCTTTGAAAGTTTGAGACACTTTAGGTCAAAATATGAAGGAAATTCTTTGACAAATCGGAAGAAAAATGTTTACAGATTTTCCCGAAAATTCGTGATTTGTCAAAGGACATTTGACAACGTCTGAGGGCTCGTACGGCGTTTTTCTTTGGCAAGGCGGTAGATATCACTAATTCCGATTTAGATTTTACTGAACGGTCCTTTATTTAAATATTTTCAATTCTATTCGTGTCTAATATGAATTTTTATGAAGATATCTATCGCAGGCAACTAGTTAAATCAGGCATATTGTCAAATGCGTAGCAGGCAAATAATGACGGGGTTCGATTCCCAGCCAGGCGACCCGAGTTTGATGGTCTCAAACGATGGCTACCTGGGACTGGTTGTTCAGTAGGGACGGAGGGGGGGGGGGGGNAAAGGCGCGGGATTAGCCCTTGTGGGCTATTCGAAGTAAAAAAAAAAAAAAAAAAAAACAAGAAGAAAAATCCAACATGAATGTGTTGGAAAAGCGTGCCGAATAACTGAAATGCTGGACACATACTATTTTCATGTCATTGCTATTTGTATCAACTAGTACTTTTTGCTAAATTTGGGAGAAAATATAGATTCATGAACTTTAAATGTAAATTCATTTGAAAGATTCCATCCAATCATCTTGATTTTAAGCTGTTATGCGGCATTGGCGCCTGACCGCGATTTGCGGCGAACTGCCGTGCATCAGCTTAAAATTAAGATAAGTGGACGGAATTTTAGTACGTATTAATCATAAGTTCGTGCTGGAACTAAATTTTTATCGATTCGATGGCCGCATTGGCTGCCTAAAAAACAAGCCATATTTGGAGGATTCTATGAGAAATTCCTTCACTGAAAAAAGGTGTTAAGGGTTATCCCCTAAAATTGTGGTACTACCACAATTTGCTGGATGATACGGACATTTCTAATGAATTGTAGTAGAACCGCAACTCAAGTTAGGTTAGTACCGCTACATTTGGGTTAGTACCCTAATTTATTGGGGTACGACCACGATTAACTCGTTTACCACCACAGTTAATTGGAAATGTCCATATCACACAACAAACTCGTGCTTTTTTTTATCCGTGTTCAATTATCGACTCTCAGGAAATCACCACATGTATGAAATTGGTAGTATAGGTGCTAGAGTGCTTAAAATAATCGTATTTAAGAAACTCCGGCATTAAACTTTCGAATTAATTTCTATGTACACTATTGTACATCTATGTACACTATTCCGTCACCTTCCAGCCAAAGTATCACAAGTGCCATGCGACGTTTCAGAATTTCCGGCGCCATTTCATTTTCACAGATGGGCACAAAGCTGGCTCTCTTCTCCTGAAGATGATTGAATGTTCCTGTTGCTATTTGTTTTATTGACTTGACGAATCTTTACAGATATTTATTATATTTTTAATATTTTGTGCTCGGCACTCAAAGGCTTGACAAACAGGGCCATGCCCTAGTCGTTAGTAGTAGAAGAAGAGGAAGATTTCATTTTCATACGGAGAAGTTGTTCAACAAAGCTGTCCGAAAATTTCCCGGAATTTTCTTTGTGCTGCCGATAAAATTTAGTGGAATTTCAAACGGATTCATCTAAAAATTTCTCTGTAAACAAATAAAATGACGGCAACAATTCTTAAACGTCGCACGGCGCTTGTGATACCTTGGAAGGCGACGATGTGTTCATTAGAAAATCAAATCAAGTACCCATACTTGTTTCAATGAGACGAATAGTGACACCGTTGGCATAAAACCGGAAAAAAAAATCGGAATTTCACATGCCTGGGACTAAAATTTTACTTACTTTTCTTTGATTACAACCTGAACATAGAGAATAACTTTCGGAACGTCCGGACGTAGGTGGACAGGAAGAAAAGGATAATAGAGCTAAGAACTGGATCACGCACAACGAAAGTCTTTTTAGGTCCATATTCTGGCCGCACTGACTACGTGCTGTCGAACACTGCGATATCTAACAGAATGTAAAAGGATTTGAACTAATTCCCAGAAACTCTCAGATCCGAGTGAGATGAAAATAGTTTATGCCGATCATATGCGTAAAAGCATAAAGAGGAAAACTACAGGTATTTACAGGTAAATGGATCCACGGAGCATAATATACAGATGAGAGCGTGACGCCGTAAAAAATATGTTGAAACGCATTCCGTTTCGCGAGACCTTGATGCGATCCATTCCCATCCCTCAAAATCCTTTTTTTTTTCTGAGTATCAAATGCCGGTCGCCCTTTAAATGGGCGCTGGAGAGAGTTCATCTAACTGCCAGCACGTTAATAAAAAATCCCGTAGTTACCACTGATATAAATAAATCTATTTTTGGACGTAGAATAATCCATATTAAAAGTATTCAGTATTTGGATTGCGACCTCGGTTAACGAAAGCACTCCACATTTTACCTCACATAATTAACCATCGAGACTTTTTCTATCTTTTCGCCGATAAAGTAAAAATAGAAAATAATAGACATTTTATAGATTAAAGATGTAATCTTTGCAATACTATATCATTTTATCCTGATTTAAATGATACCATGCATCCACAAATATCGCTAATTGTTGATTTAATGCCCCAAAAGACAGCATTTCATCGAGAATGGTTTGTAAAGGGAAAATTTAAAGAGAAAAGTATTATTAAAGCTCAAAAATGTAAACTTTGAAGTGATGTACTGCCAAAACAAGGCTAATGCATGAATCAAAACTTTCTATAGAGACTTTTTACATCATAGTTTTTTATTTACGCTGTGTATAAGTATTGTAAAGTCTACCTGGAAGTTGGTTTTTTTAAAGGAAATCCGCATAAAAACATAATTTTTAAGACCCAAATATGCAAACATTGCAACGCTGTATCTCGGAAACCAGACGTATACTCAAACTAAAAGAGGTTGTTCCAAAAACGCCGATTTTGGCCCCCCTCTGGATTCGGCCCAAACTTCGCTCAGATGTTGTACTAAGTGTCCCCGATGCTTGGGCAAAATTTCAGCCCCCTCGGNACAGCCTACAGCATGAATATAAGGCCCTAGCGGTGAAACAACCTCTGCCTTGCCCGCGCGGGATGGAACGCCGCCGATAAGCCGCCCGCGCGTAACCGATAACGCGCAGAAAAATCGCTATAACTCACGAACGAATCGTTTCCCCAAGATCAAATAAAGTATTGTCGAAGTACAATTTCATGGAAAATCACCTCAACAGGTTTTTATTCACGTAGCAACAATTCCAAAGAGAGGAGAGACGAAAAACGAAAAAAATTCGAACCTTCAAAATCGAAAAAATCGATTTATGACCGCGATAAATTACGCAACCTTGCAAACAGCATTGCTATTCTTGTAGAGAATATTTTTTGACGTTTTTTAGCGCAAACCGCAACACTTACACTCAAACCGTTCGCGAGATATCGATTTTTAAAGTTTTAAAAAATTGCACTTTTGCCCCCCTGCCCCCTCCCCCCTAATTATCCGAGGGGGCTGAAATTTTGCCCAAGCATCGGGGACACTTAGTACAACATCTGAGCGAAGTTTGGGCCGAATCCAGAGGGGGGCCAAAATCGGCGTTTTTGGAACAACCTCTTTTTACTGAAGAGTTCCCTCATCAAAAGGTTTCACTTAGGTCACATACGAATGAAATCCCCGGGTTTCAAAAAAAGGGTCACTTCTTGTGAGGCTCTTTTCCCTCGCTAATTGCATTTTTACCAGGAGAATTTCGATTAATTCTGATTGAAAGTTTCATCGATTTTTCCTCTGAGCTCATGCATAAATCACGAACATTTTCAAAGAAACTTGCACGGATACAATTTTGTTAAAAAATTAAATTGTTCGCGTCGATTTTGCACCTTTGGAATGACGATACGTTGCTTCGTGCGGAAAACGACGAGAGGTGCACGTTCTTCGATCGTTGATTGTACTGAGAGAACAAAAATTATTACCGATAATCTTCAAAGCAGTGAGAAACGGGAAGAATGTTCACATCTGAGAGGGAAAACAATTAATTACAAAAGATCACCACACCCGCCGGCTTGCCACGGAAAACTCATCTCACTTGTACTTTTTTGCAGCAAAAAAATGTGGCAATGCTAATTTGGACCACGTTAAACAGAAAGGAACCAAGTCACATCAGCTATTGCCAAATTTAATTTGGCAATTTAATTTTTTACATGAAAACAGTTTTACAGATTTTCGTGCAAATTTCAGTGAAAATTCTCCATGGTAAGAAGCAATTAATTCCTTAAAATTTTCGAAGAAATCCGAACAAAGATTCTCTCGTAAAAAATTAATTGCCCAGTTAAACTTGGCAATACCTGATGTTGCTTGGTTCCTTTCTGTTAAACTCGGTCCATTGTAATGGGAGTCAATTTATCTAAGTTGGGTACGAAGAAATCAGGAGTAATGGATTCCCTAGAAACTTTTAGAGAGCTCTAAAACGCACTTCAAGTAATTCAAAAATGTGTTGCAAAAACAGTAAAAGGGTCATGTCATGTCGTGCCATGTCATGTCTCGTGTCTAGATGGTTCAGTTCTGATGGATTCTAACATTTATTGCTCTCAGTAGGAACATTTTTGCGACATTCCACGCAGATTGACGTGGAATGTAATACGCCCGATGTGGTGAACGATTCCGCCCAGAGGAAGTCAATTCCGCGGGGGAACTTGAAAACTTTCTTGTCGTCGGCCTAGCCAGCCCATTCATTCATCGCCAGCCAATAAGGGGTCCCGTCCTCAGTGATACCCCAACCGATCAACTTAACGAGTTTGTCGGACGACAGTAGTGCGGCATTCGTCGATTTGTTGTGCAAACCTAAAAAATTATCAAGAAAGTCGAGAAATGCATTTAGATCATCGGGTCAAGTTTAACAGAAACGAACCAAGTTACATTCTGAAAAAAAAATGTTGAACTCACCTAAAAAGGCAAATTCTCGTGAAGAGATTTTTTTAAAGTTTTTCACTAACTGACAACCTCCGTCATAACAAAACGAAATTCCCTCGGGGTGACGCTGGCGCTGCACTCACAATATTTGGTTTTCATGCGGGCAGCAATGATGCGACTACATCAAAAATTCTCGACTCACCTCGNGGGGGGGGGGGGGGGGGGGGGGGTTCGAAAAGTGGATGGATGCAAATGTTGGCCATGATTCACCTAAATACTGAGTTTAGTTCTTGACTTCAACAGAGCGTTCTTCTCCATTGGTTTTCAACCCTGCCACTCTGGTTGAAAAATTCGACGGAATCCGCTCGCAAAAATTCGCGGATCAGCGTGGAAAAGATGATACATGATACGGCTTATGTAAATGGGACTTTAGATAAATGTGCAGTGTGCACTATGGCAGCCCCAGATTTCTCAAAACTAAATTTTGCGATTAGTAATTCTTTTGAATAAGTACATTTGGCCGTGTACGTGGTTTTTCTGAGGAACGGCTTCTTCTGAGTCCCTGTATTCTAAGGTACCATAGTGTATAAAGTTTGAAGCTGCTCACGTCAATATTCTGAGTAAGAAGGGAATTTGTAAAAGCTCACCTCCGAAATTCATGCGTCTCTAAGAAAACCACGTATACGGATATACGTGGTGTATCATGGAGAACGCATCAGTTTATTTATATTGACCGGTGGTAGGGTAGGCATACGTTATACTGAATTGCTGCATGTAACGGTAGGCAAGTTTTCGGGGGGACCCTTTCCTACGATTATCCAGGAAAATCAATTTTTGGCACAACGAACCGCCAACACTGCTCCTTTTAGACAGTTACATTTTTTGCGCCTCAAATAATTTGTGAAAATGTTTCTCCTACAGTGCACTAGTTTCTCTGGTCAACTTCGTGCTAGAGACAATGATCTATGTGATTGTTTTGGAGTGCGAAAGTGGTTCTCCGTAAAAACCACGTATGACTGAACTTTCAGCTTTCACCGCCATTAAGTGCCAGCATAACTTTACATTTTTTTTCGAGCCAATCAATCAAGGAGAGCTTGTCCTTCAATACCGGAACTTTAAGAAGTCATAAATTCCTGTCAAAACTTCACGGGAGCCTTTTATTTGCGTTGTTCTCATACTTGTCATTTTCGTTATACGTTGTTATTTAAAAAAAACTCCTCAATGGACTGATTTAGTACAGTTACGTCATTGTCTGGTCATGGTTAAAATGTAAACAAACGCATAGCTTTATTTCTGATTTGCGCCATTTGAGCCATGATACGAAAATACGTCCAAGCGTTCCTCACGATCGAAATTTCTCGTGTTCAATGAGTCTTTAATCGATTTATTACCAGTCAATGACTGAATCGTAATAAAGGAACACGATTAACTTACGAGGTATTTGTACATAATTGGAACCAAAAGTTCGATATTAGTCGATATTATATCGAATGACGTAGCCTCTAAATCAGTCTACTGCTGCTTCATGTGGTAATGCGGCATTCTAGGGATGGCGATTTTTTCGAATAAATCGATTTCGGGAAATCGATTTGATTTTCGGTAAACTTTAAAATTGGATGGAAAAAATTGATTTTTTTCGAAATCGGGTTTCCAAACACTTAAAAATCCAAGCTCGGTGCCAAAAACATGACTACTACTAGAACTGAACTTGAACTGGACATATTTCTGTCAAACGGAACTATGTGCAATATAACGTGAGCCCTGTTATGCAAATATTCTTATGGATCTCAGGGCTCATGTCTTAATGCACATAGTTCCGTTTGGCAGAAGTATGTCCAACTGAAACTTGGGTTCCACAGAACCTCGGCCTTATGACGTGACACTAATGTGACACTAATGTGTCGCTAATGTCGCTAATGTGACGCCAATGCGTAGGAAATCTCGATTTTTTTTTTTTTTTTTTTTTTTTTCATAATTCGACTCCGGTTCAAAATATCGATCCGATTTAATTGATTTCCGGCGCAAAAGATCGATTTCTAAACTTCGATTAAAAATCGCCACCCCTAGCATTGCCAAGAGTGTGGGATAATGGGAATATTGAGATTTTTTTTTTTTTTTTTTTTTTTTTTTTTTTTTTTTTTTTTGGGTGAAATAACAACAATCGATATGATGATGTATGTTGCAGGTGCGGATAGCGGCGACGTTGGGGGGGTTCTTCGGGCTGATGGTGCTGCTGGTGTTGTACAAGAGCCGCTGCAAAGGCCGGAGCGAGTCGGACGAGCACCTGGAGGCGGCCATCACGGCCGTCGTCGAGGACGAGAAGGTGGAGGACGACGATGACGTCATGGCCGCCCTCACCATGAGCGGCGTCAACTTCTACGGGCCGCGACGATCCCTCGGGAACATGAGCGCCCCGCCCTACATGCGCTTCGCATCCTTCGCCGGTGGTGAGTCTAGCCACACTTATCGTCTACAACCCAATCCATAGTTGGACGTATTTATGGTAAATGGAACTATGTGCACGTGGGAAAATGGGGTGTGCTCTTTAGTGGTCGGGTCATGAGAATGAATGGGGAATATAAAGCGTCAGTGACGTCAGCGGCAACGACGAGAGAAACGGCGATCGGGGTAGTCTTTGATGGCCTGGTTACACGCTCAAATTTCCGTCAAATTCCGATCAAAATGATGACCAAGATGGCGGTTGAGAGTTATCTAGATTGATGAGTAAAATTATTTAAAACAGCGTGTTGATTGAAATAAGCATGAAATAAGCACGGTTGTGTGGAAATCAGATGAAGGATGAGCCTCACAGCTCCATCATCTACCATCAAATTTTTGCAGGCCGCAGAAATCTGATGGTAGATGGTGCGCACCAGTCACCATTTGATCGGAAATTGATGGAAATTTGAGCGTCTAACCAGCACATAACTTATGAGCCCTGTCCACAAGGCTCTAGACACATGCCCACGGCTCACGAGTTAGCGCTCAGTTCGTTTTGATTTAATTGAACATCCCGCTTTTCCATTTTCTCAAAAGGAACTTTATCCACTTTTACATTGTTTCTTTTGCAGCTTCTACGAGCACACCCAATCTTCCCACTTGCACTCAATTCATTTTTGCATCAATACGTCAAAATGCCTATGAGTTTTTTAGTAAAAATTCAATCTTTGAAAGGAAATTTCGTCGTCTTGAAATATAGGTACGATTTTTTGTCAGGAAAACGACAAATTTTAACGATCTAGAGAATAACGTCCAACAGTATACCTTCTGAAAGAGACCCTTGTTGGGGAGTACTACAATTTGGCTTTGCAAAAAATTAAAAAATTGCGAGAAAATTTTTAGCGGTTTTGGAAACTTCAACTTAGGTAAAGTTTGTCAAAGTCATATAATTTCTTCTTTCTTATTGTTTGCAATGCCATATCTTTTTACAGGTCTCGAAGTTTATGATTTTTATTAATAAAAATGACAACTATCGAGTGAACTGAGTGCAAGGTTATCCTCGGTCTGTGAATTGAATCATTAGCGGAAGGATTCATGACAGTTTAAACGTGGACGTTTCAATGAAAAAAAGCCACGCCAGGACATCTCAATTTTCTGACTAGCAAAATTAGTTTCCTCGAATTTACCATACCAAACATTTTTTTGAAAAATACTTTGCGACTAGTCCATCAGCCAACGTAATGAGAAACGCAGGTGAACTCCCCGGTAAAAAATCTGAATTTTCATCGTAGTTAGTGCGAAAGTTTTAAAGGCGTAAATGACTGTAATTTTGAGACGACTGCCAACAAACGCTTTTTGCTATATGACGCTCATGATCGTGATGTGTCGCCTGAAAAAATTTGTTGTTGCAAACTTACATTTAGCATTCACCAGAGGAGTAAAACATTCTCCTAAAAAGAGAAGCTCTTACCCGTTGAAAATATTTCTCAAAATATAGCTTCCTCAGGAGAGGGCGTTTTAAGACGTAACCATAATTTCTGTTTATTTCTCAAGAACTGCGATGGTGACCCCATTTTTTGTCAAAAATTAATTTTTAAGCTCAGAAAAGGCATATAAATTTAGACTGACTACCACGGATGGTTCGCTATCCTCTTTAGTTGCAGAAATGCAAGCAAATATTAGGGATGTATTTACTCTAGTTGGTCGCTTCAGGGAAATAATTTTTAGCGTATCATGGTAGTAACCCTACGTCGATGGCTTTCATAGAGCAAGACTTCATAGTTGCAGCGGTTCAACTTGGAGAAATTTTCCAGGCTTAATAGTCAATTTACACTTATTCAATGCAAAATCGAGTTTTTTTGTAAAATTGTACAAGAAATTTATGGCAATTAAGAAATTTGCGAAGCGTGTATAAATGTTATAAAAGTTAAAACTTTTAATGTCTTTAAACTGAAGGAGTTTCCAAGGAAGTTGTGCTCAGGATTTTCATTTATTTTATTTATTTTTTGTTCTCGTTCTAGTCATCACGGTGTACTTTTTGACAATTCGACTTGACTGAATGACCCAAAACTTCGATCGTTCCGGTAGTTTTTCTTTATTTTAAACTTGGATTACTTTATAACATGTCCATTCATAATTGCCATGCTTATGCGTTTTCCAAAAATATTTTCTTCTTGAAATTTTATTTTTCCTTTTAATACCGTATGTTTTCCTTTCTGTTGTCTGATTCTCTCTCTCTCTCTGACTACTTCCATGCAGGTACTGCGATGATGCAACCACCAACATCTAAATCTGGGCTTAGGGGTAGAGCAAGCCTGCCCGTCTCTGATATCCGTTACCACATGTACAGTTCACGAGCATCTCCCACTGATGAGCGGAATGTTATGGCAGAACCTCCCGTCAAAGTTCACAAGGAGGTAAGAGATCATACCGATAGTTTATTATGCATGGTACTTTCCGCAACCTAATCCAATAGAGAATTTGCAGGTGTCTGAAATTTGATGGATTTCGTGTGTAAGTGAAAACTGTTTTGCTCTCTCAACTCTCTCATTAGAGTTCAGAAATTTAATGTTGACCCTAATTTTAATTTTTGGAATTTCTTGGCTTTGTTTCCCCGCGGAACGGTGTGGACCAGCACCATTTCTCCACCTTGTTAAATAAAGTTTTAAAGTTAAAGGCCGCTCAAAGTTTGTTCTAAAATACTAAATTTTGGTTAAAATAATTGACATAATTGCGGCATTCGGTTCTGCGGGGTTTTAGGCGAGTCGCAATGGAGGATAAATAACTGAAATCGGACGCGGGAAGAAGGGTTGACGACCAATGGGAATTTTGCGCGGGAAGAACCTCGCAGATTTCGCATGAATGTTTCATTCCTCGCATGTGGGAGACGGAAATGAATAGAAAGCAAAAACTAGGACATGGAAGGAACGAAACAGTGGCGAGGCGTCCTTTGCGATATATCGATCGATCTGCCATTCAGACCCATGAAAAAGGATCGCAAAACGGGTTGTTCGCAACGAACACCTTAATAATCGATTCTTTACCATAGCTTCAAATAGGAAAATGTCGATAATCGATTCACGCCTCGCCACTGGAACGAAGTGTTATGAGTCCCGACTCCATCCGTTGCTGCCAACTGGAGAATACCAAAACTTTTCCCGTCAGGATCATTGAGTGACAACTCATAAAATGGACGTCATTTTGCAATTAGGAACTACAATTTCCGGCTCACTTTAGAAACAACGAATGTACTATTAGTTACTCTATGAATGTAGGTGTTTTTACGGATGAGCCAGTAATTGGGTAAAATGTAGCCCAAATTAGAGAGCCTGCGTTCCCGTGTTACGAGTTATAAGAGGTTTAGGCGGGCCGCGTTGCGTGTTTAACAATTAGCGCTACATTTTATATTCGTTAATTTTTTATAAGATGATTTAATTCAATTTTTTGCTCTTGCATTTTTTCATTTAATTTTTTAAAACAAGTTTTCATTTGTTTCATTACCCCTATTTTTCATTTAAATTTTACAATTAAACATTTTCCGACAGCTCATTTGCCCCAAATTCGCTTCGTTCATTTTTCACTCTCTTTGTTACTGTCTAGGAGTAAAAAAGGGAAGAAGTCAGATTTATTGGTAAATCTCCTTTAAAGGAAAAATGCATTTTCGAAGAGAGGATTGCGTATTTTTCAGAGGGTCATCGATGTACGTCACAGGCCCAGGCCCATTTCCAAGAAAGGATGGGGGGTAAAAATCTAATTTTTTGTTTTTACTCGTTGCTTAAAAAATCGACAATGCTTGCCTCGTCGGTTGGAGGCACGGTTTACGTGCTCGTTTAAATGAATTCTAGGAAGAAAAAAAAATAAAAGATAAAAATAAATTTTAAAAAGGTTTGTTCAATAGGTAGCACTGAAAGCATCAGAGGCCTATGTACTCACTAATAAAAAGCACTTTACCTACGTAGGAAAATTTCAGTTTTCCAAAAAACTTTTGCATTCAACTTTTGCGAAATATGACCACAGATTTAAACAATTGGTCTTCGTTGCTACTGAAAGCATAAGAAATTAGCGTGAAGTGGTGCAAATTACATTCTGATTTTGAAATCCAATCATGACTTACGGTATACGTCATTGGTTGCCGATTGCATGTTACATTCAGCTTTTTTACAATGGGTTTCGAAAATACAATAAAGCAGCACAGACCGATTCGTAGAAAGAGAAAAAGAATGAATATCTGTGATTTGTTTATCTTCTTCTTCTTTTTTCAAAAAATCGTCTGAGTGAGGACGGTGAAAAACATATGTTTTTCGTTTGTCAGAAGTATATCCACATGGATTCCTAAAAATTGACGTTCTATAGTCCTCGTGTTTAAGAAACTAAATTTTAAAAACTAAAAAACTAAAAAATATGTCTACAGCGCTCTTGATAACGAGTCGATACTGTAGAGCGACCAATTTAAAATGTCTGGATTCTAAGATGTGTTCTCAAGGATACAGAATGTCGCAACTGGCTCTAAAACATTGCATGTTACTTCTTTCAACAATTCATGTACATATTTTGATCGGGGGATTATTTTGAAAAAAAGGGGGGAAAACATAAAAAACAGACTCAAAGTCAGAACCTCGACCGAATACCAACTTTTTTTTCTTAAATTTTGAATTTCGAAATCCATTTGGGATGTTCTTTCGAAAGTATTCCAAGAGGTCTCTTCGATTGAATGATGTGCAGGAATGCAAAGCGCCTTACAGCGTGATGTATAACTGCCCAAGTATTTTTTAAACACCATAAAACACTGAAACAACGATTCGAATAATCGGCTGAAGACTCGTTTAGAAAATTTCTTTGGAACCATATTGAACTCAAACAATGAATATACAATATGAATAAGGAGCTTCAGGGGATAGGGTATATTTTTTTAGCTTGTGAATTCATGGAAACTATTAAAGGCACGAATCAAAAACAATAAACGTATTTACTCATACTTCTGGCCATAAATTTCACTATTTTACGGCTAAATTAGACTTACTTCTGGTATAGGTCAACATTTGTTTAGTTATCTCTCCTAGGAAACTGGTCAAATCTATACTATGTCCTAAGAGGCCACACGAAAGACCTACGACATTACACGAATCCATCATTATTTTTTCTGCGCATAATCTATAGATAACAAAATAACCAAGGGAGGGAGGCTGCTACTTTATTACACCAATTTTTCAAATAATTCCAACATCTGATCAGTTAATACTTTAATTGAATATGCAACTATCAAGATAATATCCGACGTTATGTTTTCTTTTTTTATCACTGAGAAGAAATCCACTGTTGGTTGAGAGAAATACATCAGGTTAAGTAGTACAAGGGTTAAGTTGGAGGGAAAACCATTGAACTTCATTTATTGACTGAAGGAAAAAATTCTACCCTCAATTCGTGTGGGAAGATCAATCGAAAACCGCCCCGCAACATGACTCTCCCCTCAGATACCACTATTAATGCCCGGTGGATGTCCGTGTTGCATATACCAAAAGATGAAGGCGTCTTGAATTTTCTGGCCCTCTAAAACGTGTGGCGCGTTATTACTGGTTTCTCTGGAGATCTCTTTTTTACCAATTTGTAAAAGATAGCAGGACATAGTGGAAAGCAACTGCCCCTCAGCGCTTTTTGAGTCTCGATCCTGCTGTCCTTATAGAGTTAGAAATTTTGTGGCGCCACGCAGCATTTTACATTGTCTCACAAGCATCTGAAGCACTAAATTGTCATCGGTATATTTTTATTATCACCGTTGTCAAATTTCAGTTGATACGCATAAATATTGTAATCGTTCTACAATAATAGTTTTCCTGCATAAAATTATTCTCCTCTGCAATAATTTATTATTTTTATGTTCTCTCTTCGCCCTCGTTCTGAGGGATTTTTTTTACGAGAGTAACGACTTTCTGAAAAGGTAGAGCTCTGACAATCCTCGATTAATTATTAAGGCCACGCTTTTCATGGAGTTCCCTCAACCTCCAACCTTACCCCTCCCACTCCTCTCTCTGCTCTCTCGCCTCTATTTTATCTCACCTTCCAATGGATGAAAAACCGCTTCCGACTCTCTTTTGCTAAAAGGAACTATACGCATGGGTTTTACCGTGCGACATAGTTCCTTTTAGCATAAATACGTCCTTTTCTCATTTTCTGGGTACGAAAATAAATTCCGATGAAGCAACAAAGAGAAATATAGATCGGTCTAATTCCTGTAATAGCAAATTCGCCAAACCGTCTCAAAAGATTTTCCAAGTGCCGCGAACGAATTGATGGATTATACAAAGAATTTAGCTCTGCAAAGTTTAAATATTGTCAGTTATTTTTCATCGTTACGAAAATATTTTCTAACTTTTCAATCAGCATCTCATTAATCATCTCTCGGCAGTTTTTTTCTTGTACGTACAGAAGCAATATCAGCTTCTTAATAGCTTGCGTCTTACAATTAGTTTCTTTTATTATTTTTATTCAGTAAAGTTGATCAATTATAATTAATTTTCAATAATATGTCTAGAAGGTAAGTAATTGCAGCTTACGCAGAGATTATAAAGATTAAAAGCATCAGAATGTTAACTGAATTAAATAATAAAACTTCTGTAATAATTCATTTAGAATAAAATCTAGATGAAATAACCGAACTTTGCTCAGAATGATAGCATTTTTTATTACATTACATCTATCTTTAACAAATATTCAATTCGTCATAAAAAAATGAGGATAACTTTCGATATATGTAACAGTTACGGGATATGTAGTTAACAAGAGACGAGATCCCA